GGGGGGGTTGGGGGGAGGGGTAGTTATCAGTGGCGATCAGCAGCCGCGGCTGTACTCGAAGCAGCAATAGATGCAGTAGTACTAGTAGCAACAGTAGTGGCAGTAGTTGTACTAGTAACAATAGCAGTAGTAACAGCTCAGCAACAGTAGTAGTACAAGTAGTAACAGCAGTAGCCAAACAATAGCAACAGCAGTAGCCAAACAATAGCAACAGCTGCAGTAGCAGCAGCAGTAGTACTAGCAGCAGCAGTAGTAGCAACAGCAGCAGCAGTAGCAGCAGTATAATTGTAGCAACAGCAAGCAGTAGCTGCAGTAGAAGTTGGAGCAACAGCAGCAGTATACATTACAGCAACAGCAGCGGCAACTGCAGTACAAGTACTTCTAATAGCTGCAGTAGCATTAGTAGTACTAGTAGCAGAGTAGTAGCAGCAGCAGTAGAAGTTGTAGCAACAGCAGCAGTATACGTTACAGCAACAGCAGCACCAACTGCAGTACAAGTACTTCTAATAGCTGCAGTAGCATTAGTAGTACTAGTAGCAGAGTAGTAGCAGCAGTAGCAGCAGCAGCAGTAGAAGTTGTAGCAACAGCAGCAGTAGAATCGTAGCAACAGCAGTAGCCGCAGTAGAAGTTGTAGCAACAGCAGCAGTATAAGTTATAGCAACAGCAGTACTAGCAGCATTAGCAGCAGCAGCAGATGTAATAGCAGTTTTAACGTTAAGCATTGACTCGATTAACACGACTACTGAAATTTGCGTCACGTACTGTTTAAAACATTGTTCCTAATACCGTGTGCTCTCATCTGTTTCTAGATTTATTTCACACATGGTCTGGCAAGTTCCCTTTCCGTCCCCAGAGAAACCGAGAATCATGATACAGGTTCGTCTGTTAACATTCATGACACACTTCTCTTCTCTTTCTATTATGCATGGGTCGAAATCATAAGGGGCCCGCGGGCCCGATGCCCGTATTTTAAGGCTCGGGCCTGACATTTCTAATACTAGCAAGCCTGACGGTCCTGTAGAAAATCCACCCCCAGCATGCAAAATCGTCCCCGGCAACGCCAGCGAGGATGAAAAGTTATCGTATTTGTTATTGTAAAAATTTCAAATTTTTGTCATTTATTTTTTATTTTTTGCGGTATCGGGAAATGTTGCGGGCCTGTAATTCGCCTGGTGGGCCTGTAAAATCCCTTACCTACAGGCCCGGCTGGCCTGTAAATTGTCAAATTAATTTCTACCCCTGTTATGTATAATGGACTCCTTTACCTATAAGAATTAGTAAAAGCCTGACAGCGTATATGTTGTAACTAGCCGTCCCCTCCTGAACAAACCTTCTCTGTCATTATTCGTAATCAGTGTTTCCGTAATTCTTTCAGCTTGCATCGGAAAACATGTCTCGTCATGCACTCTTTCTGTCTCAGCCCGTGGACACGCCATTACCTCAGAGGTAAGCAATGGTAGGGCAGCAGTAGCCTCTAGCATTTCACTGCAACCCTGATGCAGGTAGAATTTGAATCTCTGTACCCCGCTGCCTGCCAATCTCCTGTCAGTTATCTTTTACTTAATCCCTGCTGCTATTGATTAATATACGTGTCAGCTCGTGAGTGCAGTATTATGCTACACTTGTGTGTTTCTGTCACTGTATGTTTATCCTTTTCCTTCACCACCAGAAATGTGACGCAATCACGTGAGCATGTTGTCTGCTCTGCACCTGTTTCCACGAGAAATTATCATATTGCATGTGATAGGTGTCGAAACTTGCCTGCGATGCTTAGTATTCATGAATCAGAAACCATGCTTGTGAGGCAGGGATGCCACTTTTCGCCACTGAATGATGTTACATCAGCATTAGGTGGATGTTCACGTGTATCAATATCATAGACAGCAACTTTTTCACCCCACCCCACTATCAACGTTTACAAAATAGTATCGCTTTTTATGTTTGGTGAAAAGATGTGAATCGAGCAGATACATTTTCTACGCGTGTGTTATTGTGAGAGGTACCCCTAGTCGTGTGAAATGTGAACAGCGTGATGGGGTGTCGCATTAAATAGTAGCGTTTCGTCGGATCTCTCGTTGTGCCGCGCAAATCACCGCTGGCGCCACCTTGACTCGACGCCGACGCGTTGTCAGGGTGCGAAATTTATGCGAGTCCGGAGTCAAATACTCCCTGATTTACTGTCGGACTCCCTGATTTGACATATGCAGGAGTCCGTGTGACTCCCTGAAAATTCTGCTATACTAACTAGTTCATTCCAGAGCGGACTCCCTGATTTGACATATGCAGGAGTCCGTGTGACTCCCTGAAAATTCTGCTATAACTAGTTTGTTCCAGAGCACGTCCTCGCGGAATGTTTCAGTATTAAAATGCCCAAAGACATTTTGGCAGACGTGCAATCTCATGAACCTTCAAAATAAGCACATGCGTTATTGTTAATATCTTTAGTTTTGAACTTCAGACTACGTACTCCCTCATTTTGCTGTTGAATCCCTCTCTTTGAGGGCAGTGAGTCCAGTCTGTTGGACTCCCTTGTTCAAAAGTTCATTTCTACCCCTGCGTCGTCGTTTCTCGTTTCAGCGGCGCGTCGTTTGTCACGCTCCTCAAGAACCTTGGCCCAGACAACTGCATGCTGCTGCTGCAGTTTGTGCTCATGGAGCAGAAGATACTGCTGCACTCGCTGCGGCCATTCGTGCTGACCAGTGTGGCTGAGGCCGTGTCCACGGTCAGTGCTGCTGCCTCTCTCCCTCCTTCCCTCGTCCCTGCATTCGTGCTGACCAGTGTGGCTGAGGCCGTGTCCACGGTCAGTGCTGCTGCCTCTCTCCCTCCCTTGTCCCTGCATTCGTGCTGACCAGTGTGGCTGAGGCCGTGTCCACGGTCAGTGCTGCTGCCTCTCTCCCTCCTTCCCTCGT